CCATGGCATCCAATTCTGTGATTCTGTATTTCGGTTCCTTCGGGAGCTGCCTTCGGTTCCTTCGGGAACTGCCTTCGGTTCCTTCGGGAGCTGCCATCGGTTCTTTTGAGAGCTGCCTTCGGTTCCTTCGGGAGCTGCCTTCTTACTCTTACCTGTCTCTAATTCCGGTAGACCTAGATCTACTGCCTAGCCATGGCTTGCCTGTCTAATTGTTATAATATTACGCTGAACATGAGTGGACTCCTGTACTCCCATATTGCCAAAGATTTAAATTGTTATGATTATATTATAATTAGACCTTAATAAATGCCAATGTTAATAAGATTTAAATTGTTATGATTATATTATAATTAGACCTTAATAAATGCTAATGCTAATGATTTGAGTTTATTTAAAACATTTATTTGTTACCATGCCTTAGATATGTCAAAAAAGTGATCCTGACAAAATTTATTACTAATTTACCACTAAGTTAGCTGACTATCTAATGGAACGTAAAATGTGAGAAAATTCTTAAAAAGTGATCCTGACAAAATTGGTTGTTTCATGACAAAGAAAGATGATAGAAGCAATTTTTGGACATCTATATGATCATATTGATCCAATCGATATCTCCATTGGAATCAAATATCATAATGTTAAACGAATAATAAATATAACTCACTTCAAAAAATATTTGTTTTGAAGGCTAAAAATACAGTTTTTGCTAAAACGACATTACTTCCGGTGATAATGAAAATGTTAAATCAGTTCCATGAAATCATAAATGGCATCAGGCATCACGGTGAAAATTTTATGAAAATCGAATAATAATTGCCACTTTTATAGACCAAAAACCTTTAAAAGTGACTGTAGAAAATTATCTATTTCTCTGCAACCGTAAAAGTTAGGAACCATTTTGTGGTATCTGTATGATCATATTGGTTCATTCTATATGTTGATTGCAATCAAATGTCATAATTTTAAAAACATTACAAATCAGACTCATTTGAACAAAATATTCGTTTTAAAGGCTATAAATACAGTTTTTGCCCATATGACACCATTTCCGGTGACAGTAAAAATGTAAAATTGGATCCGCCCAGTCAAAAATGGCATTAGGCATCATATGGTGAAAAAAAAATAGAAAATCGGATTATAATTAACTCTTTTACATGCAAAATAACAAGAAAAGTGACCCATGCAAAATAGCCTATTTCTCGGCAACTGCTAATATTACAAACTAATTTTGACATACATTGTCATCGTATTGATTAATGCTAAGGTCCATGAAAGTTGTCAAGAAGTATTTTAAAATATGAAAAACCTGAATGCATTGTAAATAGCTCATTTTTACACCTTTTTTTCAGCTTTAAGTCAAAATGATGCAAATGCAAAACCGAAATAAACAAAAATCAAAGCAAGACATATTTTCCGTCTTTAATACAAGCATTCATCTTGATCTACAGTATTAGATTTGTAAACATTAATATTTACTTTTTAAAAGACCTTTCGACACGTCAAAATTGAAGTTTTAGGCAAAATTACGTCATTTCCGGTGCCCACAGAAACTTTTATAGGTAGAAGTAAGTTGAGAATTTCCACCAGGTGGGCTTTTCTTTTACACAAATCAGGCAATAAATAATTAACCCAGAACCCATAGACTGAAATTAAAATGCGAAAAATCTTAAAAAGTGATCCTGACAAAATTGGTTATTTCTCGGCAAGGGAAGATGTTAGAAACAATTTTTTGATATCAATTTGTATAGGAATCAAATATCATAATTTTACACCAATAATGAATATCGCTTACTTCAAACAATTACTTGTTTTAGAGGCTAAAAAATACAGTTTTTGCCAAAGTAACGGTACTTCCGGTGATAATGAAAATACTAAATTACTTGTATGAAATCGTAAATCGCATTAGGTATCACACAGTGAAATTTTTATGAAAATCGAATAATAATTGACACTTTTATGGACCAAAAACCTTGAAAAGTGACCTGCTGAAAATCGCCTATTTCTCCGCAAATGAACAAGTTAGAAACCATTTTCTGATATCTATATGATCCTATGGGTTCATTCTATTAGTTGATTGGAATCAAATATCATAATTTTAAAAACATTACAAATCAGACTCATTTGAATAAAATATCTGTTTTGAAGGCTATAAATGCATTTTTTGCCCAAATGGCACCATTTAAGTGACATTAAAAATGTTAAATTGGTTTGAACTAGTCAAAATTGACATTACGCATCAAATGGTGTCACTTTTATGAAAATCCAATAATAATTGTCTCTTTTACAGGCAAAATAGCGTAAAAAGTGACTCATGCAAAATTGACCATTTCTAGGCAAATACTCATATTACAAACTAATTTTGACAGATTCTCTTCGTATGGATTAATGCTACAACTTTATGAAAGTTGTGGAGAAATATTTTTAAATATGAAAAGTCTGAATGGGTTGTAAATAGCTCATTTTTACACCTTTTTTCACCTTTAAATCGAAATGACGCAAATACAAAACCAAAATTAAAAAAAGCGAGTCTGAGATTTTTTGCGCCTTTCGTAGGGGCATTTATCTTGAGCTATCAGATTTGCAAAAATTAACATTTGCTAGTGAAAAGACGTTCCGACTCGACAAAATTGGAGTTTTTAGCAAAATTGCGTCACATCCGGTGCCGATAGAAAACTTTACCGGTAATAAAAAAATTGAGAATTTGCACCATGGAGCATATGAACTTTGTTTTATAAAAATCGGGCAATAATGAATTAACCTAGAACCCATAAACTGAATTAGCCAATAGCGGCCAAGAAAAATTACAGAGACAAAAAATGTTCACATTTTTGCTCAAATCAGACAACCCTTTAACCCTGGGTAAAATGCCATAAAAAAATTGTTCATTAATAAAAAAGTTTTTTGTAAAATTTAAAATTTTCAAAATTTGGCGCCTAATATCTCTGAAGATTCGTCGAAAATCAAAAATCTAAACTACCGTAGCTATGTGCCCTGTCTCAGGCTATGGCAAAATGTATCCAATGTTAAAATCCGACGATTATTGTTAATATTACTGCAATATTTCAAAAAACGACAACTTTGGCGTTTCGGACATTTCGCATTGTCGCAGAACGTTCGAAATAGCTTTAATCTCTAAGTCACACCCACTTTCCCAGTAAAACCGAAGACATCGAATTGATCCGACAAGAAGTTTCTGAGATATGCTCAAGTGGAAAAAGAAAAAATAATAATAATAAGAATAATCTTAACAAAAACAATAGTGTTTCACACAAGCTACGCAGTGTGAAACCCTAATAATATTTTTGTCTTATTATTGTGCATTGCCTTTAGAGGATGTCAAATGCTGTATGTAGCATTGTTTTAAAATTGCATATCAAACATAGACATGTACAAGTAACCTGCGGTTAGTCGAACATTCTTCGATCTATGTTGGTTTGCAATGCCGGCACTTATTTTGCAAAATGACGAGAAATTAAATTTTAGTATACAGGTCTAATGTAGATACAATTATGGCCTGATGGAAATCATAGTTCGGGGACTTACAGGTTGGGGCCACAAAAGAATTTGGTCAGATTTAGTGTACCTTGGCAGAAATATAACCACCATTCATTAGATCTAATAGAAAGACTGTCAAGAAATTATCCATCAGAAATTTTCCCCCAATATTCAGATTCAAGCTAGTAAAAGGTGGTCGAAATATGAGTGAATTCTCAGCTCAGTAAAAAAAATGGAAAATAAATAATGATTTGTAGCTCTGGGCCAGTTGTCACCAGACCTTCCCCCATTATTGAAAACAGCATACATGAGTGTACATATACATGACTAACATGACGATACATATGACGCAATTTGCACTGAGTTTGAAGCTCAAATTCATCATGTCTAAAGATATAAGTGTGCCCATTACCCTGCATCAATTTCGTGCCAATCCTTGATGAAATATCGTTTCCGCAAAGCCCAAACTATCAATAAACACACCTAAAACAAGATTAGTTCAGTTGACCAGATCGTGGTATTATTTATAAACAATGATCACGTGACTAATCACGTGCCATGATCCAACGATTTTCATTGGACAATTACTTGACCGCGTGGCAGCTTCGTGTTATGACGAGAAAAAATATAATTCTTATTCAGATAATTTTATAAATATTATACATTCTGACTGCCACATGTGAAGGTTGCTAGTTAACATCATTTTTGCTCTATCTTTTAGCGAGAGTAAAGATCTAAGCCATATAATCCTGCCCAGTCCACGGCCTACAAGCGGGGAATAAAAACCACGCCACTTGACTCAATGATAGACCTTGTAATTTCATGGCCCTCATTGAACCACTAGACCACCCATCCCCGTATGTGAAAGAGTAACACATGTACAGTAGAATGACTTCAAAACGGTATTTGGATTATTAATGTGATTTCACATGCACATGTTAAACAACTAGACAACGCAACCACCCTTATGTGAAAGAGTAATACATGTACAGTAGAATGACATCAAAAAGGTATTTGGATTATTGAATGTTAAATGCTACTTAAATTAAATATAAAAATTAGATTGTCTGTTTAAAGATGCATTATATTAGATTTAGATAACGAGATGGTTGTTCTTCTTATAATAATAAACTATAACACATACTTATAGTTCAAAAATAGATAATGCAAAATGAATACATTGAAAATTTTATTCAAATTACTTTATTCTGAGCAAAGTTATGAGTGGAGTGTTGTAAGGTTGTTTATTATCGTAACAACGTTACTTGTTATACGAGACTTAGCCTTAATTCAACATTTTCAAATTAAATCATTAGATGGTGACCGTATTTCAATCCGTTTCCATCTCCGGCACCAAATGGTCTAGGAAGTGGATAATAGGCTTGTCATATAAATAAATGTATAAATAATAGTTTATATAACATTTGAAGCCAAAATAAAGACCTGCAATAGGAAGATTTAGCTCTTAAATAAAAACTTCCATATGATTATATGAGGATACTTACTTCAGCTCTGGCAGCATCTTGTGTTTTCCAATTTACCTGGAAATATCAAATCACTCAATTTCTGAAAATATGTGATACTATATCTCATCATTAATAGTAGATGTAGGAGAATCTCAACACACATAACATTAACAGGGACCAGAAGGCAAACAAGACAATAGAAGACACACAAAACACAAACATTGTACATAAAAACTAGACCTGATGGGTTTTACCGCTTCCCTTTAACCAATGAACTTGTCAACAGAAATTCAGTTAGATATCAGTTAAATTTCAATCTGATTAAAATACAGATCTATATTTCATTTCATTTTTTTTATACTTTCGATGGCCTCTACTACATGAAGATCGGACCGGTTGTAGTGGAAGGTTGCGTCAGGGTTCATACAAGCAGCTTTTGACCCTATGACGTCAGACATTGATTAATCAATAAGCATTGACTTTTCTAGTGGTTTACCCACAGAACTCGCCGTAACAAACCGTTTCATTGGCTAATCCCTCACATCAATCAGAACGCAGGTTATATAACAACTCTTCCAGATGCTAATGTAGTAAAAAGAAGTAAGACAAAATACTTTCGATAGCCTCTACTACATGAAGATCGGACCGGTTGTAGTGGAAGGTTGTGTCAAGGTTCATACAAGCAGCTTTTGACCCTATGATGTCAGACATTGACTAATCAATAAGCATTGACGTTTCTAGTGGTTTACCCACAGAACTCAAGGTAACAGACCGTTTCATTGGCTAATCCCTCACATCAATCAGAACGCGGGTTATATAACCACTCTTCCAGATCCTAATATAGTAAAGAGAAGTAAGACAAAATTTTGAACTGTAAAAAAAGGAAACGAAATAGGATCTGTGTTTTAATCAGATTGGTTAAATTTATGCCTGAAAGTTTTACATAGATTCCACAGCAGAATATCACTTGGCATGGATTTCAGTAGACAATAATCAGCACTGAAATTTTGGTTTAAATTTAAATCAGCATTATTTTCCAGAATTTTAATCAGTAATTCAGCTAGAAATGCTAGGAAATAATAAAGATTTTACCCTATTTATAAAGGCTATAGAATGCAAGAGTGATTAATTTATTCCTTCAGTTAGTTAATTAGTTCTTAACCAATCTACATGGGAAGAAGAAAATATTTTCCAAGCGACCGATCCTATTTTTGAGGGCCAAGTAACATTAAACAGTGGTATTATTTTCTTTTAACCTATGAAAATAGAATAATAATTGACACTTTTATTGACACAAAACCTTGAATACTGACTTGTGGAAAATCATCTATTTCTCTGCAACTGAACAAATAAGAACATATTTTGTGATATCTACATGACCTGATGCATTTATGTCATAATGTTGATTAAACTAAAAAATTAACAACTGACTCTCAAAAGAAAAAAAAAGGTTAAAGATAGGTTGCCAGATAACGAAATATATGCCCACAGCAGCTAAATCGTCTGAGCGGTCGACAAGAGTTGTCGCATATTTATTCCTTTGTACTCCTTGTAGGTAATTGGAGGCCTTTACAAGACAGTTCCATACAGATCATATTATAATTTTTGTCGTTTGAGGGTACACAAGGTTCTACAAACTGAAACAAGGGCCTCAACTCTGAAGTAGTCTACAGAAATTGTTGAAATTTGACAGATCGAATTTCAAACAGATCGAATGATCTCTTTTGTCTTTCAAACGTTCACAAGGTTCACAAAGTAACACAAGGGCCATAACTCTAGAAGTAATAAGCTGAAATAGCTGAAATTCAATAGAATGCTTCTCTTTACTAATTTAAATGACGCATGTAAATTTCATACAGATCGGCAGATAACTTTTGATGTTAGAGCGTTCCCAAGGTGCAACAAAGTGAAACAAGGGCCATAACTCTAGAAATAATTGACGGAAATTGCTGAAATTCAATAGGCTTCTTCGTTTCACTAATTTAAACCATGCATATAAATTTCGGGTGATAACTTTTGGCATTAGAGTGTTCACTAAGTTGAATAACGTGAAACAAGGGCCATAACTCTGAATGTAATAAACGAAATTGCTGAAATTCAATAGGATTCTTCGTTTCACTAATTTAAATAATGCCTATAAATTTCAGAAAGATCGGATAACTTTTGGCGTTAGAGCGTTCACAATGTTAAATAAAGTGAAACAAGGGTAATAACTCTAGACCTAATAAATAGAAATTGATGAAATTCAATAGGCTTCTTCGCTTCACTAATTTAAATAACGCATACAAATTTCACAAAGATCGGATGATAACTTTTGACATGAGAGAGAGAGAGAGAAATGGGGTTTAATGTCCACTCGACACAAACTAGGTCATTTCAGGACTAACATATGGTTTAATTTTATTTCAATAATTCGCTTGCGCTAAGGGGTCTTTAGCAGTGGGAGGAAACCGGGGGACCCGGACAAAACCCACGAGGTTCCTTGTCACGTACAACCGGGGAATCGAAACCACACCAGTTGACTCAAGGACAGACTTTATGGTACAGCGCGCCTGTGCTAACCATTCAGCCATCCAACCCCCCAAACTTTTGACGTAATAGCATTTACAGCATTCACAAAGTTCAAAAAAGTGAAACAAGGGCCGTAATGAACAGAAATTATTGAAATTAATTGACTTCTTCATCTCGCTAATGTTAACCACATATATCAATTTTAAATCAATTGCATAATAACTTTTAGAGTTAGAGCGTTCACAAGAAATTGCGGACGTCTGGACTAACGAACGGACGGACGGACAGGGGCGATGGCAATATACGTCCACATTTCCAGATTGTCGATAGGGTTCATTTTCTCTTTCAGATATAAACATATATTTTAAGCTTCATCTAAATGGGACACAAAATAGTGGCCATTATGTACATAAAGTTTTCAAAAGATCCAAATCTGTGCCGGCGTATCGAAGGAAAAATATTTGGGAACCTTTTCAAGTGATTGTTTGGAATAATAAATCCACTGCAAAGTTCACTAAAAAGGGCAATTGGTTACATTAAATCAGATTCTGGCCTTCTTATATCACTGGATTCTTTGTGTAAGAAGTTGAATGATGAATGAAAATGGACAGATACGAGAGAGACGCATGATTATCACATGCCCTTTATCACCCAAAATTGTTTTACCAATCCCTCTATAACAGGTATCAATCCATTATTTTGCACGACATATATTGTTGTTTACTCAGCAGATTGGGGAATGGGTCAGTAACCTGAATATAGCCAGTATATACCTGTTTATTTACGATGCATACAAATCAGATCATTCCAATGTCAGGTTTTTGAAATACAATTTTAAGGAATTTGGATAAATACAGATAAATGTATTTTAAGTCTATTTGCTAATTTCAGGTCTTCAACACTTTTTTATACGCCCAACTGTCGCATATTGCCGTCACCCTATCTGTCCGTCCGCCCATCCGGTGTCCACCCTCTGGAGGCTAAACGGTGATGGTCATGAGACGAAGAATCCTATTGATTGTCAATGATTTTCTGATAATTTATGGACCTTGACATTTAATGCTCTGTGCATTAAATGTTAGTATAGGGCAGAACTAGACACCAAACAAATCTGACAATTACGTAATGGGTTGTTATTTGTAATCAGATTTTAGTGTGTTGTAAATATTTTCCTTACTGACAAAAGAAAAATATGTGACACCCCTTATTGACTGTTCATATGATTTAGCTGATGTAGGGGGGTATTTTAGTTAGAACAGACATCCATAAGGAAAGATTAAAACTATCTAAAAAATGGCCAAACAGAAATTTATCCCAGTTTGCTAAGTTTTGTGGATTTGTTACTTGTACTATTAAATGAGTTTTCTAGCTAATGTTACTATTTCACAAACTATAAGTCATTGAAACAATAGTTTTTATTGTTTTAACTACGTGTATTTATCTGTTTAATTAACACAGTGTTTCTTGTTATTTCTAATAGTGCACGCATGAAAATGCATGGTATGTTTTTCCACAATCACCAAGTTAGTATGTTGGGGTGTTCATCTATAATGAACACCTACTCTTCCTCAAATGATCACCTGTGCACATGCTAAAACAACACATTTACAGGTTGATCAGTAACTTGAACACCTGAGTCAGAGCAAAGGGTCATTGTAATTAAATTTCCTTGAAACTTGACATGGATACATGTTAGTAATACACTTTAAAGTGTATGAGGCGTATATCAAGACACAATTGCAACCACCAAGTTATTATCATGTGAATATCGTGGCAGTTGTCATGCCACAATAATTGTGTTTCACAGAAGGGCCGCAATACGTATGGTGTATATTGTGTTAATATATTGATTTACCTGATTTGTATCATCACTATCATAACCAGCACCACCACTATCATGTACAGCACTATTAATATAAATTTTTACACTACATTATAATATAATTTAGCAAAATACAATAACAACAAGCCAACAGTGAGGCTGATATCCCCCGCCAAAATCCCAAAATAAACTGATGACACATAGCTTTATCGGGAAATGTTAATCACTGAACTCAGTCAAGTTTAAACATCTACATCAAGTTTAAACATTCTACCTCAATTAAAAGCGAGTTGTTATGTTCCAAAATCTTGACCAATCAAATTGCTTATCACTAATTAGCCAAAGCAGAAAATTCTCATCATCGAACTAAGTAAAAGTATTGATCTAACGAATCTATACTCAAGAGTTTCATCACTCTTCCAAAGTCTTAACCAATCAGATTGAAGTCTCTATTTTGCTTATCGCTCTGCTTACCCTAAGTCGAAAATACTCATTATCGAACTTAAGTCAAGGTACTGATGTGATGAAACTATACACCAAGTTTCATCACTCTCACAGTCTCACTTCATTAGAACCAAAGTTATGTCCCAAAGCATTAACCAATCAAATTTCTTTTCTCTGCTTACTCGAAGCAGAAAATGATCGTTCTACCTCAATTAGATGGAGAGTTATTGTGTTCCAAGGTCTTGACCAATCAAACTGCTTATCGTTCTGCTTACCCTGAGCAGAAAATGTTCATTATTGAACTTAGTCAAGGTATTGATGTAATGAAACTATACACCAAGTTTCATCGCTCTCACTTAATTAGAACTAAAGTTATTGTGTCGCAAAGCATGAACCAATCAAATTGCTTATCGTTCTGCTTACCCTGAACAGAAAATGCTCATTATCGAACTTAGTCAAGGTATTGATAAAATGAAACTATACATCAAGTTTCATCACTCTCACTTTTAGTTAGGGAGCTAGGTTCAGTTTGTTTCGAAAATCGTGTACCAAATTTCTACTATGCTAGATGAGTGGACAGCGGTGTCCGATACTCGAAACCTTGATTCTTAAGTTGCGGGTCCCCTCCCATGGGGGATGGGGGGGTCCCACAAAACGTCGAATTTTCGAGTTTAATTCTACTTTTGCGTACAACAATCAACTTTCTTGCAAAAGTCTACCAACTTCACTGCTTAAGAAGACCCCTGACCCTTTCTACCTCCCTTAAGAACACCCCCTTTACCCTCCCTGAGAGAGGGGTTAATTTGACTTCCGCGTTCAACATTAATTTTTTCGTTAAAAGTTTCACTATTATTCCGCTAGAACATAACACTAACTTAAGAACGCGAAATCCCCTTCCATCCCGGATAAGAACACAAAAAGGGGGGGGGGGGCTCATGGGTGAAATGAACAAAATGACGATTTAATTTGACTTTTGCGTACAACGATCAACTGTCGTGCATACGTCGACCAAAATCAGATGTCATCAAAAACACTGCTTAAGAAGACCCACGACCCTTCCATCCTCCCTTAAGAACACCCCCTTTACTCCCCTGAGGGACGAATTAATTCGTCTTTCGCGTACAACATTAATTTTTTCGTTAAAAGTTTCACTATCGTTCCGCTAGAGAATAACACTAACTTAAGAACGCGAAATCCCCTTCTATCCCGGATAAGAACGACAAAATGGGGGACTCATGGGTGAAATGACCAAAATGATGATTTAATTCGACTTTTGCGTACAACGATCAACTTTCGTGCATACGTTGACCATTCTCAGATGTCATCAAAAACACTGCTTAAGAAGATCTTCGACCCTTCCTTCCTCTCTTAAGAACAAAACACTAACTTAAGAACACAAAATCCCCTTCTTTCTCGGATAAGGTTGAGAAAACGGGGCGGGGGGGGGGGGGGGGGGGGGGCGGTGGCACGGGGTGAAATAGCCCTTCCTTCCTCTCTTAAGAACCAAACACTAACTTAAGAACGCAAAATCCCCTTCTATCTCGGATAAGGTTGAGAAAACGGGGCTGGGGGGGGGTGTGGCACGGGTGAAATGGCCAAAACTGTCGATTAAAGTCAACTTCAGCCTACAAATATCATCCTTCCTGCTTGTTTGTTTATGGGCAGTCTGAAAAAGAACTTCTAAAGAACTATAATCCTCTTGAGCAGTCACACTTTTGGAAACGCTACATAGATGATATATTTTTTATTTGGCGCCACGGAGAAACTAAACTTCTCAAATTTATCAAATATATGAACTCCGCCCACCCGACTATCAAGTTCACATGTAACCACTCAAGAGATTCGATTAGCTTCCTGGACATTTCAATTCACAAAATCAACGACCGCTTAGAAACTGATCTATTCTCTAAGACCACTGACACTCACCAATATCTACATTGGGGATCTTGCCACCCTCACCATACTAAACATAGTCTACCTTACAGCCTCGCTTTTCACCTCAGACGAATCTGCTCATTACCCGTATAGCTTAACAATCGCTTAGATGAACTGCGTAACTATCTGCGCAAACAAGGTTACAAAAGAAATGTTACAACTGATGCTATCAAGAAAGCTACTAGAATCTCGCCCTCAGATGCTCTACAACAACGTCAAAAGAAGAAACATAACCGAATCCCATTTGTTATTCCCTTCAATCCAAGACTCCCAAACATTGGAGAAATTATACAAAGATACCTGCCTATTCTTCACAAATCTCATCATTGTAAGACTGTTATACCCAACCCTCCTGCCGTAGCATATAAAAGACCTCGCAACTTGAGACACCAGGATTTTACAAATGCAGTAAAAAATGTATTACATGTACCCGGCACTGTCAAGAAACCAACACTATAACGAGTAACTGCACTAAGAAACAATTTGTAATTCGGAAACGTCTCGACTGTAACTCTTGTAATATTATATATCTAATTACCTGTATCAAATGCAACTAACAATACGTCGGAGAAACTCAACAAAAATTCAAAGAACGAATATATGGACATAGATCAGATATCAACAATCATGCAGACTCCCTGATCGCCAGACACTTCAACTCCCCTAATCATAGCATAGACCATCTCTGAGTCACCGCCTTTGATCAGCTCCATAATGCCACCACTCATTCACTTCTTAATAAAGAAACATTTTGGATTAGAACTCTTAAAACTCTTGAACCTCTAGGTATTAATAATAATCCTCAAACCATCTTCCCCATCAGTACTTTTTAGACTTTACCCCTTTTCACGCGCTCCTGGTTCCACATTCTTCGTCATAGTTCCCTATGATGTCATTTCTTCCCTTAGAGATTGTTTTAAAATGTTTTATTTATTACCTTGAAGAAGAAGAGGGTACCTCTTCGAAACGTTGGTCCAATAACATCTGACTATGAAAACAGTGTTAGTGTGTCTTTTGTTCATTTACTTTAATATTTATCTAGTGAAGAACACTTCTGTATCAGATTCCTCGATCCATTGTTTTCATATTCCTGTTGGATGTGGATTCTACACAAGTTTTACTTAAATAAGCTTAGATTAAAAGAGATTCATGATGAATGATTTTTAGTTCACAACAGCCGAACAAAAAATAAATAGAACTAGTCTAACCATTATATACATAAATTTTGCATGAAATGTCTAAATTAATTTTTGGTATAAAATTCATATTTATGAAAAGAACATTAAATTTAGATTATTTCACCCATAGGTCTCCCGGTTTGTCGATCTTATCCGGGATAGAAGGGGATTTTGCGTTCTAAAGTTAGTGTTATGTTCTAGCGATCAAATAGTGAAACTTTTAACGAAAAAATTAATGTTGTACGCGAAAGTCGAATTAACCCCTCTCTCAGGGGGGTAAAGGGGGTGTTCTTAAGGGAGGAAGGAAGGGTCGGGGGTCTTCTTAAGCAGTGTTTTTGGCGACATCTGAAGTTGGTTGACTTATGCACTAAAGTTGATTGTTGTACGCAAGTAATTAACCTCGAAAATTCGACATTTTGTCAGACCCCTCACTCCCATGGGATGGGGACCTGCAACTTAAGAATAAAGATTCAGAGTATCGAACACCGCTGTTCACTCATCTTGCATAGTAGAAATTTTGTATGTGATTTTCGAAACAACATGAACCCAGCTCCCTAACTATTTATTAGAACTAAAGTTATCATGTCCCAAAGCATCAACCAATGAAATTGCTTATCTCTGCTTGCCCTTGCATTCACCTTATAAACACCTACATCAAATTTAAACATTCTAGCTCAATCAGAAGGAGAGTTATTGTGTCCCAAAATGTGCGACGGACGGACTGACAGACCCATTTTAATAGCAGTTGCCATGCAAGATACGCCCACATTTTGCAAAAGATAAGACAAAGATTGGAGATAATCGATAGAGCACATCCTCTCCACACATGCTGACAAAAGCTCATTTTTAAAAATAGGGTTCTTATTGATTATGGTTATTGTATATATAGTTGTAGCTTTAAAAATAATCACATGACTAGATCTCCAGAGGAGAACTGAAGGCTTTCACCACACCGAAAGTAATTAGAGTTTACGTCGAAAATCTTAAATCGTGGTCGACACCGCTGAAAAACCAAAGTTGTTGCCACACCGAAGTCATGTTCGAAACTGGAATCCAAATGGATATCACTTTTATGCGTAATGAGAGTTTACGTCAAAATTGAAAGAGTAGCCCAAGGCGTAATTACAGTTGATATTATAAATCGATATCGTAATCAAAGAGACACTGAAGTTACGGTCAAAACTGGAATCGGAATAGATATTAATTTCAAAATCAAAGTCAAAATTGTAGTCGTAATTAGAGTTTAGGTTGAAACTCAAAAGGTGTAATTAGAAATAAAATGAAATGGGGTTTAAAGTCTAACTCATAAATGCTAACTGTTGACAAATTTCATGAGGAAAAATCTATCGCTTCTTACAGTTTCTAAGATCTACGCGTAATGGCAAAAGAAAAGAAAGAATAGTTTTGCGAAAGGGCCGAAAAGCAGTATTAATTTCCCATTGTCTTTAGCACTCAACATTAGTTTTTCTTTTCAAAGTATTTCGGTTATAATTAGCGGCAGTGCAGCGCTTTTGATTTATTGGTGTAA